ATTCACAAGTGATGTAAATATGTGCAGATGTACATGTATATGTTTAGTACTATTTATTGCCATTGTTTCTGATGCACTGTTATTTCATTTCAGGAGGATGATGTAGAGAACAATACGCAGAGCTTTGAGTATTCTGATGAAATGGAAAACAGTGCAACCATGTGCGGTAAACAGAAGGAACCAGAAAGTGATTGCACAGAACTGAGGGCTTTGCTTTTATTCTTACCTCTGTGGCAGGCAATGTTCAAAGTTGCAGACAGGGCAATTGTTCTTAAAGTTTTTCAAGCTGTTCTTATCTGGCATTGCTAAGATGATGCAAGTAGAAGTTCTTATTAACTTTGCCAAGATCATCCCAGAAACATTGTACGTGATTCCAAAAAATCTTGGCCTTCAGAAGGACAGTTTTATTCAATATGCAGTTTGCCTTAAGTGTAAAACTCTCTATAATTTTGATGAATGTGTTCGTCAAAGGCCAAATGGTGAGGTTGTATCAGCAAAATGCAGTCATGTGAGTTATCCACGCCACCCACACCAAGCCCGAAAGGAGGCCATGTGGTTCCGTTCTAATGAAAACTATGAGGTCAAGAGCAGGAAAGACATTCTTGTATCCTAAGCAGGTTTACTGCTTTAAAAAGGTTACTGATTCATTAAAAGACCTTATTAACAAGACAAACTTCATGGAAAACTGTGAAAAGTGGAGAAATAGTTCCACTCAGCTGCCAGACAATGTTCTTGGGGACTGTTTTGAAGAAAGAGTTTGGAAAGAGCTTCAGTATGTGGACGGAGCCCTTTCTTGCTATATCAAATAATTTTGGTCTCATGTTGAACGTTGACTGGTTTCAACCAGTTTTCAAAGAATCTATTGGTGTCATCTACATGGTTGTAATGAACTTCCAAGAGAGGAATGCTTCAAACCTGAAAATCTTATTGTTGTTGGAATAATTCCAGGGCCAAAGGAGCCTAAGCATCATATCAACTCCTTACAGCAGCCACTAGTAGATGACCTTATTGACTTATGGGATGGAGTTATCTTAGACACAAACTTCTCTGGAACTGGAGAGATGTTCTAAGCTGCTATCTCAGCTTTCTCAAGCGATATACCAGCAACTCGGAAATGTGGAGGTTTTATTGACCATACTGCAAGGAAGGGTGAGTGCACAAAGATGCACTATAACTAGAGTGTTTTATACAATTTTACTAATAACTCCTTGGCTATTTTTTTTTTGTATTTGTGTATGTATACCTACCAACTCACATGTCTTGGGAATCAAAAACTTCGATCTCAAGCCAGCCCTCACCAGCTGACCAATTCCTCACACCTAGCAGAAAAATTTGAGCTAATACAGCCTCTGATCTTTAGAAGGGAAAGTGCTGGAGACAAGGTTGTGTTTTCATATGTTAGGAAGTTTGGAATTGTTTGGGACTGTGTCAGAAGTCTTTGGATTATCTCCAGATATGATCAGGTTCTCTATCAAAAATCCTGGCACTTGTAGGATAAAAATCTCACACCTTTGGCTCAAAAAAAGGTTGGCAGGTATATGTTTGTTGTGTGTGTAAATACATGCTTGTTGCACTGGCATCATTCTTTATATGGTATTTTACTATATTTTCAGGATGCAGCAAATGCTTTAAAGAATTTCTAAGAGCATTATTTGGTGATAAACCTGATTTCTCAGTATTTGATAGAGAAAGCTGGGAACGGTAATCTAATGAAGATCACCAAGCAGCTGCAGAGAAAGTACACCAAGCTAAAACACCAAGTGATGCCCAGAAATTTGCCTCTTCAAGTGGAGTACATTACTCTGTCCTGTTCCAGCCTCCTTACTATGATGCTATAAGATTTGCACTGATTGATCCCATGCATAACTTGCTTCTTGGGAGTGCCAAAAATGTTCTGAAGACTTGGATTGAAATGGGAATTTTGCGTGAATCTGACTCGGAGAGAGTACAGAAATGTGTCAATCTTGTTACGCCACCATCTGAAATTGGGCGCATCCCAAGCAAAATTTCTGAGGCATTAAAGGATTCACTGCTGACCAGTGGAAAAACAGGGTACGTATTTACTCCTTTTTTGCTTTAAAGGGAGTAATACCCAATGGACATTATGGAATGTGGACAGAATTTGAACATGCCTGTCAACTGCTTTGCAAAAAAGTTATCACCAAGGAGGAGTGTTTGGAAGCTGACCAAAAGCTGATGTAATTTTTTGTAATGTTTGAAGCCCTCTGCGGGAAGGAGAAGTGCACACCAAACATGCATCTTCATGGCCATTTTAGAGATTGCATACTTGATTATGGACCTGTTTTCTATTTTTGGTGCTTCTCATTTGAGAGGTACAAGGGAATTATAGGAGATTACCATACAAACAATGTTAATATTTGTAGATATTAAACTCTTCTCTAATAAATTTTAAAAAAGGAAAATTAATTCTTTCAAACTGGTCTTCCCTTTCTTGACATTTTGATAAAAGTAGAAAGTCATGCCATATTCTTTGAAATAAAAAAAAATTATGTGAACACTCAAACCTCCATATTAACATACATACATCCAATTATTTTTAGGGCCACTGTCATTTAGAGTATTTTGTATCCATTTTGAGTCTAATTCAGAAATTAAGAAATTAAGCCAGGTCACTCTGCAGGTTTAAGAGTGCCTGTTTCGTTCCACTGTCGACCTTTGCTTTTGAAAAAACTAAATTCAGATATTTTTTTAGAATTTGTGAAAGTTATCTACTGACACAGTGAAAAACGCTGAAGGGGCGCTGTAAAAAGCTACTCAAACTCCGAATATCCTCAGCTTCTTACGGCCGAGACATTTGCGTGGGATTTGCACTAGAATGGTATATCATCGTTCTAGGAATGAATGAGTTTCAACAATATTTTAATGCTATATTATCTCACTGTTTTAGTATTCACCAAAACAATTACTCTCATCAGCATTAATGGCGGATACTTAAAGCGCCATTTTGCGGCTTGGTAAATATCTACCACTAGCTACTTCCACTTCGCTGAGTAGTTGTTAGCTATCAACATTTCTTAAAGAGGAAAGACTTAAACTCGAGTTAGTATTACCCCTACCAGTCTGTTACGATGTAATTCTTATTTCTTTTCGTTTTTCTTTTCTTTTTTGCAATTAAAGCGCATTTAATACATCCCGTGTGATATCACGGACTTTCTAAATTCATGTATTGTGAGTCAGCGTCAACCTAACGCTGGATTTGAGATTTATAGATTTGTGTATAATCTATCACGGAACGAATTTTCCGAAACCAATGCATGTCTCCAAGGACATTTTCAGTCCAAGTGTTAATGCTACTTTATTAGGATATAACCCATAAGATGCGATAGCACCCCCGCATTAAAATGCCTACTTCCAAGGTTGGATTCTGTGCGTTCCCCTTACACCAATATAAAGAAAGACTCCAAACTTACAGCCCTTCCAGCTTGGTATTGTTACTGAAAATGCCAGATGGTAAATTCCTCAGCTGGTTGTTGTTCAACCGCCTATCAGAAATAAGTTAATATATTTTCAATTGCATGGTTTACGACAACAAAGTTCAGAGAAAAAAGAGGCTCGAAAAAAATTTGTTACTTCTTTTCTCCTGCTCTGATATAAGGGCCTAAAATATACAGTTGATTAATATTAGATTATTTTCCGGACATGGATTTGTCACAACGGAATAAAGAAAAAGTTTGTGTTAAATGATGCTTCTTTTATGTTCATGTAAATTATTTTTACGCGATTTGATTCAAACAACTTTTTTGTATATATTTACATCT